GTGTGTGTGTGTGTGTGTGCTCTCAGCAGGAGGAAGAGGTTCACCCAGGAGTCAAGTCACTTAGGAGGAAGAAGTTTCTCAGTGACAACTTGTGTGTGACAGCTATCTCTATAGAGTGGCTAGGTGGCGTTTCAGTTCCTCACTGATGTGCTGACAGGATTGAAGCTGCAGAGGGAAGACTGTAGGTCACATGGTGATCTGCCCTTAGAGATGCCAGAGTGGCCAAGAGTGGTCTCCAGTTAGGAGCAGAGTGGGAAGGTCTTCATTTACCTTATTTGGTCATACTCCTTTCTAGAAGGAGCTATGCAACTGTTTTTCTGCATGGATCCAGATACAGCGTAACTGCAGCCTAGAGCTAAGAGAGTCACCTCAGTCTGTCACTGCTTTTTAAGGTTCTGTTGTCAGTTCAGTGGTCACCGCTTTTTCTTCACTGCCTCAAGCATCCATTTTGATTATATTTTCATTAGAATAGAAATTTTTATCATTTAAAAATTGCAATTCTAGCAAATAGTCAAGTGTTTTAGTATTGCAAGTGTTTGTTTGTTTATTGTAAAAAAAAGCTAAAAAAACTATTACTTCTTGTTCCCTTAAAAACAAAAGTATTCAGGTTGGAGATCATTGTGAGATGGATTGCTTTTTCTGTTTCAAATAGAGAACCAGTTGTTGCAAGTCTGGTGTGTGTGTGTGTGTGTGTGTGTGTGTGCTCTCAGCAGGAGGCAGAGACTCTGTGTATGTGTGTGTACGCTGAAAGAGAAGTCTGCTTTATGTTCCCAATAGAAGAAACAAGAAAGGAAGAAAAACAGAATAAATCTTCCCCCTGGGGAAGAGAAAGGGCACAGGGACAGCCCCATGGCTGGTAGTTTTTAATCAGGACTTCAAAGAGATCTGGAAGTGTGCAAAAGGAAAGAAAGGGTACCCGCCACTCAAAGGTATGGCCTGAATACCTGCAAACCTTAGCTACAGAACTAGCAACTGTCACAGTCCACACTTGGCATTTACTCCGTCCGTAGAGTACTGTCTGTGACTTCACCTAGTTCACCCTATACAGACCCCTATGAGGGGCAAACACTACCTCCCTCACTTTACAGAAAACCTAAGGCACAGAGAGGTGAAGGAACTGGCTCGAAGGCAAAGCTAGGATCAAACCCAGCTCTTCCTAGAGCCCGTGCCTGTGCTGGTGACACAACACTACCCCAGGAACATTTTTTTTTTTTTTTTTGCATCAGAAAACCTCCAGGTTCTCTCTGATCCTCAGGTTCCACATGTCTAAGCTCTGTTCCTCCCTAGTACACTCACAACTTGCAAACTGAGCCTCCTATTCAGTTCTGCTCCATCTCTGCTCCATCTGATCAACCTGAGGACCATGCAGGGTACGCCCGTGCCCACCTGTCACCGCTCTAGAGGCGTTGGCACCTCTTAATCCTTTCTAAATAGTTCATCAACTAAACATGTAAATATCTGGTCTTACAGGGGCCATTTTCATTCAAACCACCACATCTACCTATCCTCTATCTATTATCTATGTGTTTATTGTCTCTCTATCAATCTCTTATTTATCTGTATGTAGTGTTATCTATCTTAATGACTTTTTAAAAAACAATATACAAATGATAAAAAATTCAGCATGAAACACATAAATGTTTTCAATTGCACCCTCAAAAGACAGTAATTTAAGCATCTTTATGAAGAGCTTTCCAAGCATCTCTGACAAATCACATAAATATGTGTTTGATATACAGATGTATATCAATCTGTACATGCTATGTATCCTATTAGAAGGTGGGGTATCTTTCCACATAAGTAACCATGAGTATAATAATATCTATAATTTTAAATGATATTTATATTTATAATAATTTATTTAGCAAACCCTCTGATGGTTTCCCTGTGTCACCCTAGCTGTCCTGGAACTCACTCTGTAGACCAGGCTAGCCTCGAACTCACAGAGATTCATCTGCCTCTACCTCCTGAGTGTTAGGATTGAAGTCATGCACCACCACTGCCTGGCTTGAACGGATAAATTCTTAAGGCTCTAGCTTTAATATTCTGATTCTAGTCTGGAATTTGAACAATCTGTTCTTTATTGCTTAAAGTAGGAATTCATTATCACATAGTCTATGGAGTTGATTGTAATCTGGACTTCCAACAATCTGTTTGTTGTTTCTGATGGTAAGAATACACAGTCATATAGAGAGTCTGCTTGTCTCCAGGTCTGTGTGACTCGCGGCATCTCAGGCAGGCAGGATGCAGGTACCCTAGGCAGAAAGATACACCAAACCCTGGTCCAGACACTCCTGAGAAACCCAGTACAAAAATAACAAATACTACTTGGAATTTGTAAGTGTGATTTTGTTTTCAGCAGTCTGGACTGAACTCATGGTAAATTCCCTTTTCTTTCGAAGCTCCTTTGGGAAAATGAGTTACACCAAGCAGGTCACAAAGGCTTGGTGTTCTTTTCCCACTTCGTATATAATACCCCCAGATATCTGCACTGTTGAAGTAGAAGCTCAAAACGGAGACGGGAGCACGAAATCTGACATCACAAGCTGGAACCTAGACCACATAGGTGAGTGGCTGATGACATCAGTGTCGTTACACTGAATAATTACTCTCCCACTTCCTTCTCAAAATAGACTCGGAGTTTGAGGGAGTAATGGGGATGTGCTGTGGGCCTAGAAAAGATGCCTATTGAAGAAGGAAGGGGAGGAGAGGGAAGGAGAAGACGGAGGGAGTTAATTAAATGAGGAAAAAGAGTGACAAGCAGGAGGGTTCTGGCTGACCATTGATCTCTTTTGCAATATAAGACATGAATGGCTCTCGAGAAATAAATAGGGCCTCCCCAGCATGTCATCGCTGCTCATGAAGGAAAAGAGGAACTCTTTTAAAAACTACTTTTAAAAAATTGCCTCCAATTGTTGTCTTTTGAACTTTTTAAAAAATTTTTTACCATAAATTTAAAGTGACTGTTTTATTTAAATATAATTAATATACTATAGATTCAAAGTGTTAAAGTGTACAATTCAGTAGATTTATTATGTGCATAAAATTCTTTAAATATTACCACTAATTCAATAATAGGATAGTTCAATGTAATCAAAAAACTTCATACTTACCAGTAGCAAGTTCCTAATCATTTATTTGTCTTTTCCTCCAACTTCTAGCAACTTCAAGCATGTTTTTTTAATCCCTATAGATGTACCTACTAGGACCATTTCATATAAATAGAATTGTGCAATATGTGGTCTTTATATCTGGCTTCTACAATGACTTCAAGCCCTGTCATTTGTTAGGACTCTGCTCCACTTTAATGGTTGACTCGCTTTCCATGAAATGGGTGTGTCGTCTTTTGTCGATCCACTTGTCAGCTAGTGTACATTTAGGTTGTTTCTATTTTTTGGTTAGTATGAATAGCGCTTCTGTGAACACTGGTATAAACGCTTGCTTGGAAATATCTTAGATGATCTTAGGTCTATACCTACTGCAATTGCTACGTCACATGCAACCCAGTTTAACTTCTTGAGGATTTGCCAAACTTGGCCAAAGTAACTGTAGCATTTACCATTCTCATTGACTGTGTATGAAGGTTCCGGTTTCTTTACAGTCGTCCTGGTTGGTCAGTGTGACTTGTACCCCACTGTGGTCCTGATTCACACTGTGGCATCTGCAGTGACTGTTTCAATTAAAAATTTTGCCCATTTTTACTTTCTTTGAAAAGTGTTTCATTAGCTATACTAATTACCAGCAATGGCGTTCATCATGGCCTTTCCATACACACATAAAACATATTATGATAATATTCCTGCCATGACTTTTCTCGTCCCACTCCTACCCCACTGATCCCTTCCCAGCTCTGTTGTGTTTTAAGGTTTCTTTCTATTTGGAATGGATGATTAGCAAATATTTTCTCCCTTTGTTTGGATGATCTTTAACTTTTTTAAAAATATATTTATTCATTTATTATGTATACAGTGTTCTTCTGTATGCAGGCCAGAAGAGGGCACCAGACCTCACTACAGATGGTTGTGAGCCACCATGTGGTTGCTGGGAATTGAACTCAGGACCTTTGGAAGAGCAGGCAATGCTCTTAACCTCTGAGCCATCTCTCCAGTCCAACATTTTTTTTTTGATCTTTTAAATTTTTTGATAGTGTCTTTTTAGACAGCACAATAAGTTTAATGAACTCAGTGCACCGGTTTCTCTTTTATGGCTTGTGCTTCAGACATTGCCTCTAAGAAAGAAACCATCACCAACTTTAATTTTTTGCTGTGTTTTCTTCTAAGGTTTTTAAATGACTACAGTTTGCCCATTTGTTCCATTCCAAGTAATTTTGTTTGTTTGATTTTAGTGTTGGGGGCAGGTTGGCCTCACATTATACAGCTAAGGTGAAATTTGATTTTCATGTCCTCGGCCTCTCAGGTGCTAGGGTTAAAAGCGTGTACTATCATGCCTGGCTCATTGGGCTCACTTTTTAAAAGGTGTCTTTTTATTTCATTTTAATTTTGCATGTGGGTGTGGGTGTATGCACACACATGGGCCCAGGACCTTAGAAAGGCCAAAGGAGTCGAGCCTCCTGGAGCTGGAGCTGAAGGTGATTGTGAGCTGCCTGACGTGGGTGCTGGAAACTGAACTTGGGTCCCCTGTGGTAGCACTACACACTCTGAGCCATGTCTCTAGCCTCCTAGATTAGTTTTTAAACATAGTGCTAACAGTGTTGGTCAGCTTTTTCCTGCTATAACACATATCTAGACTGTTTATTAAAGAGAAAAGACTTGTTTTAGAGGGTTCAGTCTATGCCAGTCAGCCCCATTGCTGCAAAGTCCTTTACTTCCTGGCTGGAGAACAAAACAGAAGAGAGAGAAAGTCATCATGGCTCCATTGTCCTCTTTAAAAGTAAACACCTAGTGCCCCTCTCCCCACTAGGCTCTACCCCTTAAAAGTGCCATGACCTTCCAGTAGCCATGGGTGAGAACCAGACTTCTAATACAGGGACCTAAATATTAACAGTGTGACATTCTTTTTAGAAACTAAACATTTTTTTTAACTTTAGAGGTTTTTTTTAATTGTTTCTGTTGAGCTATATATTTTTCTCCACTCCTCTCCCTTCTTCCCCCTCCCCTTCTACCTTTTTCCATGATCCCCACTCTCCCAATTTACTCAGGAGATCTTGTCTTTTTCTACTTCACATGTAGATTAGATTTATGTATATCTCTCTTAGGGTTCTCATTGTTGTCTAGGTTCTCTGGAATTGTGAATTGTAGGTTGCTTTTTTTTCTTCATGTCTAAAAGCCACTTATGAGTGAGTACAAATTATATTGGTCTTTCTGGGTCTAGGTTACCTCACTCAATATGATTCTTTCTAGATCCATCCATTTGCCTGCAAAATTTAAGATGTCATTTTTTTCTGCTATGTAGTACTCCATTGTGTAAATGTAACACATTTTCCTTATCTTTTATTTGGTCAAGGGGCATTTAGGTTGTTTCCAGGTTCTGGCTATGACAAACAATGCTGCTATGAACATAGTTGAGCACATGTCCTTGTGGTATGATTGAGCATCCTTTGGGTATATGCCCAAAAGTGATATTATTAGGTCATGAGGAAGGTTGTTTCCTAATTTTCTGAGAAATCAAAAATCACCATACTGATTTTCAAAAAGGTTGTACCAGTTTGCATTCCCACCAGCAATGCAGGCGTATTCACTTTACCCCACATCCTCTCCAGCATAAGCTGTCATCAGTGTTTTTGATCTTGGCCATTCTTACAGATGTAAGATGGAATCTCAGAGTTGTTTTGATTTGCATTTCTCTGATGGCTAAGGACGTCAAGCATTTTCTTATGTGTCTTTCAGCCATTTTAGATTCATCCATTGAGAGTTCTCTGTTTAGGTCTGTACCCCATTTTTTTATTGGATTATTCTTTTGATGACCAATTTCTTAAGTTCTATGTGTATTTTGGAGATCCGCCCTCTGTCTGATGCAGGGTTGGTGAAGATCTTTTCCCATTCTGTAGGCTGCCATTTTATCTTGTTGACCGTGTCCTTTACTTTACAGAAGCTTTTCAGTTTCAGGAGGTCCTGTTTATTAATAGTTTCTCTCAGTGTCTGTGCTACTGTGGTTATATTTAGGAAGTGGTCTCCTGTGTCAATGCGTTCAAGTATACTTCCCACCTCTTCAATAAGTTCAGTGTGGTTGGCTTTATGTTGAGGTCATTGATCCATTTGGACTTGAGTTTTGTGTATGACAATAGATATAGATCTATTTTCATTCTTCTACAAGTGGATATCCAGTTATGTTAGTACCATTTGTTCAATATCCTTTCTTTTTTTCCATTTTATATGCTTTGCTTCTTTGTCAAAAATCAAATGTCCATAGGTGTGTGGAATGATATCCGGATCTTCGATTCAGTTCCGTTGGTCCTCCTGTCTGTTTTTATGCCAATACCAGGCTGTTTTCAGTATCGTAACTCTGTAGTAGAGTTTGAAGTCAGGGAAGTATTTAAAGTTCCTTTTTTGCACAGGATTGTCTTGGCTATCCTGGATTTTTTGCTTTTCCATATGAAGTTGAGTATTTTTCTTTTGAGGTCTGTGAAGAATTTTGCTGGGATTTTGATGGGAATTGCATTGAATCTGTAGATTGCTTTTGGTAAGTTTGCCATTTTTATTATGTTAATTCTACCTATCCAAGAGCATGGGAGATCTTTCCACTTTTTGGTGTCTTCTTCAATTTCTTTCTTCGAAGATTTAAAGTTCTTATCATACGCTTGTTTGGTTAGAGTTACTCCGAGTTATTTTATGCTATTTATGGCTATTGTGAAGGGTGGTGTTTCTCTGATTTCTTCCTCAGCCCATTTATCATCTGTGTACAGGAGGGCTACTGATTTTTTTTGAGTTAATCTTGTATCCTGCTACATTACTGAAGGTGTTTATGAGTTGTAGTAGTTCCTTGGTAGAATTTTGTGGTCACTTACGTAAACTATCATATATCATCAGCAAATAGTGAGAGTTTGACTTCTTTTCTGAGTCATATCCCCTTGACCTCCTTTTGTTGTCTTTATTGCTTTAGCTAGGACCTCAAGTACTATATTGAATAGATATGGAGAGAGTGGACAACTTTGTCTTGTTCCTGATTTCAGTGAGATTGCTTTGAGTTTCTCTCCATTTAGTTTGATGTTGGCTGTTGGCTTGCTGTATGTTGCCATTATTATGTTTAGATATGTTCCTTACATTCCTGCTCTCTCCAACACCTTTATCATAAAGGGATGTTGTATTTTGTTGAAAGCTTTTTCAGCATCTAATGAGACGATTATGTGGGGTTTTTTTATTTTTCAGTTTGTTTATATGGTGGATTACGTTGATAGATTTTCATATGTTGAACCATCCCTGAATCTCTGGGATGAAGCCAACTTGGTCATGGTGGATGATTTTTCTAATATGTTCTTGGATTTAGTTTGCCAGTATTTTATTGAGTATTTTTGCATCAATGTTCATGAGTGAGATTGGTCTGTAATTCTCTTTCTTAGTAATATCTTTCTATGGTTTGGGTATCAGGGTAAATGTAGCCTCATAAAAAGAGTTTGACATTGTTCCTTCTGTTTCTATTGTGTGGAACAATTTGAGAAGTATTGGTATTAGTTTTTCTTTGAAAATCTTGTAGAATTCTGTGCTGAAATCATCTGGTCCTGGGCTTTTTTTGGTTGGGAAACTTTTGATGACTGTTTCTATTTCTTTAGCAGCTATAAGTCTATTTAATTTGCTTATCTGGTCTTTATCTAATTTTGGTGATATTTATCCAGAAAATTGTTCATTTCCTTTAAGTTTTCCAATTTTGTGGAGCACAGATTTTCAAAGTATGACCTGATGGTTCTCTGGGTTCCCTCCGTGTCTGTTGTTATGTCCCCCTACTTCAAGACTTTTCAAGAAAATTGTTTTTATTTCTTTAAGCCAGGGCTTTGGTCTGTATCAACCAGCCTTTCACGTTCTGGGACTATAAATGTGAGCCACCATGCTTGACTAAATTACATATTTTCAAGAAAGGAAATTTGGGCCCATGATGTTGGCAGTGTGCAAGGAAAATGAGTAGCATTTTCTGGTGGACATTCTCCGTCATGGGGGCAAGGACACAGGCCTGCTAGATGCTTCTGCCAACTCTTCATAAATAATCCGGTTGTAGGTTATTCCATGAGCCGTATTTTGCCTATGACTGCATCATTGTCATCACTGAATATATTCTTTTGTTTTGCCATCATTTTCCCTGGTGTTGAGTAAAGGACTTGTTTGTGAAGGACTCATGGGAGCAATCCTCTTCTGCCTGGGCTTACTCTTTCCTTCGGTACAGGGCTTTGGGAGAGTGACGTTCTCTTCCCACTGCCCTGCTGGTGGATCTGCGTATAGCAAGCCACAGATTATGGACTGTCATTGGCTCTCTGGGGTGTCTGTGCACTCAACTCTGGGTGGATGTTGTTAGTATCTTCTGTCTGTCTGTAATTATGAGGGTTTTATTTTATTTTATTTTTTTTTTAGTGAAAACTGAACCACCTATAATTTTAAGCGTGAATCCAATTTCGCGTCAGATGTTCCAGATACGGTGGAAACCCCATGAGAGGATTCCTGTCTATGCTCTAAGGTGCATCCTTCGGTTCAGGGCTGTGAACAGTACCCACTGGGTAAGTTCTGCCATTACGGTATTTCTGCTAGAGACCCAAGGAATGACTTCGCTAGCAGCTTTGCTCATCTGGAATTGTGGTTTTTTTTTTTTTTTTACTTTTTACACGGAAAGCAGGAAAAAAATAGTGACTATTGTACTATTCTACTTCTCCACCTTCCATTTGTAACTTTAGCTTGGAAGCATAGTCTACCATATGCATTTTGTATTCTGAGCACAGTAACACCCTAAATAATTAGACACTTGCTTTTATAGTATACCCTGGTTTGTGTACGGCAGTGTTGGCCACAAGAAATTTAACCAAAATTCAAGTGTTTTTTAATTACCATTGGATTTCTTCATGGTAGTCTCATCCATCATTCAGCCTATTTAGAATCTTTATTCTGCTACCCCAAAACTTACCATTAACATTTTGCTTTCTGATGTTTAAGACCTTCAGATTTGATAACTTCTATAACTTTATCATTCATAAAAGTGGTGACTGGTTCAGAGCCCTGTGGCCCTCAGTATCGGCGAATCAATCCCACACCAGTTATGTTTTAAGGGGTTATTTATTTTGGGGGGTAAAACTTACATACACCATAAACCGTCAGGAAGGGAGCCTAGTCGCTGGAGCAGGAGCCGGGAGCAGGAGCTGGGACCAAGCGCTGGAACCAAGAGAGCCTGATCCGGGATCTGTGGCTCTTTTTAAAAGAGAAATATATCACGCCCCAGTGGGCTGGTATTTCAGCGGAAGGCGCTCCCCGCCGCACTGTGGGCTCGTGCTTCAGCGACTATTGGTTGAGGCAGCGGAAGTTACTCCCACAACACCTCAGGGACGGTGACTCCTCTTTCTTTGGTTGTCATTTATTTTCCAGGCCTCTGTGATTATATCTAGTCACATGACATTCAGCCTATGTTTTTAACATGTCTAGGCAGCTGTCATGGGCCTTTTCCCTTGTGGAAGCTCATAGGTACTGTGTCTATTATATCCTAGCACCCAGAATTCTTTTAGAGAAGAAAATTGGTAAATGTTATCTGCCCTGTGTTCAAAGAGATGATGTTGGCTACTTCTTCCATCTGCCTCTCTAAGCCAGGCCCTCGACCCTTCCGTAGAGCCTGTATAGATCGGCCTGGCAGTGTGTTGTTTAGGGGACGGTATGAGCTAGGCAGTTCACATCATAGCAAATTTATGTGTCTTAGTGAAAGCACATGTAATTTCTTTTATGGAGCCCGAGGTCAGTACAGCTTCTGGGATAGGATTCATTGAGAAAAACAAACTGGGAATTCCATCCATCTGGAAAATTAGTCAGCTGTATATAACAAATATAATCTACTCCTAACCCTTGCCCTCCATCACTTTTCCTCCGCCCTTTGGGCAGACCACCTACTTCTGTGGTTACCTTTGTCTTCTCCTTTCCTAACCCCGAGGTAAGATGGCTTCCTTCCTGTTCTTCTGGAGGATGGGAAGCAAAGTTGAATGTACAGTCAATGCCTTCTCTCTCTTCTCAACTTTGGAACACAAGTCAGTCTCTAGTTCTTGACCAGCTAAGCCCAGCCTGATCATCATCATATCAATGGGCCCTCCTAATAATTGCATTCCTGCTCCAACTGGATCTCATACATTAACAATGGGAACCAAGTTTTGCTTCCCCAAACATTAGCCTGTGACCACTGACTCTCCCTGGATTGTTTGGAAGAGACTCTCAGGGGACCTGGTATTTGACAGCAAAACTATCATGGCCTCTGGGTTCTAATTCCTTGCTCCATCCCCATCTTACTGGCACTGGGGTTAGAGTCCCTTTGGACCTGGGATACTCACTTGATCCCTTTGCCCAATTTCCTGGAGCCACAGCCCAGGACCCATAATTCCATAGTTGCTTTCACAGCTGTCACATACATGTAAGAAATGGCGGGCTGCCTTCTCCTGCAGAGTATCATGGGACTATGCTGTGCACACACCAACACACAGTAAATGCAATGCGTTAATCAATCCAATCTAGGTTTTATAAACAATAGCTAACCAGTTTTATTGTTGAAACTGTGACTTGGTTAGAAACCAAAAGCTAAGGTTTTTATCTCTCCTAGGGGACTAGATCCAGGAATTTTCAGCGCTTCAATGAAGCAGCGTTCTCATTTGACCAATGAGAGATCGACATTGAGGGGAGGGGAGGGACTTAACCGCTCGTCTTCCCGAGAGTGGAGCTTATACAACCAGGCCGCCATGATTGTTAGTTAGCAGCTTGAATGGCCAGCCAGAGAGCAATGGTCAGAAATAGAAGACTGACTAAAGAGAAAGCGTCTGAAAGTGAAGGAGTCTGTCCTTTGCTGATTATACACATTAAGCCTGTCCAAGGTCACTTGACTATAATATATAGGTTAATCCTGATGTCACTTAAGTCTTCCTTCCCCTCCCCAAGTTCCGTGAGGCCGAATTCCTGGTGTCAGAGTCACCTCAGAGTTGAAGCTAAAGACTGGGTGGCCCCAGGTCGTGAAGCTCTGTGTTACACCTCCAAGGGCAGTGGACACTAACTCTCTGTCCCATGAACTTCCAAAAAGGAAATCGAGAGTGTGATAGTGATCCGGGTATGCGCCACACTTACATAGGTACACATTATCCCAGCAAGAGAGCACAGAGGCTGGGGCGAGATACAGTAAACAAGTACATGCTCTCTTCATTTCTGCTTAGCGTCCGTTCTGTCTTTCAGAAAGAGGTCAGTTTCGAGGATCATAACAAGGTATACAACCTCACGGGGCTTCAGATTTTCACGGAATATGTCATAGCTCTGCGATTCAGGACCAGTGAGTCAAGATTTTGGAGCAACTGGAGCGAAGAAAAAACTGGAGTGACTATGGAGGAAGGCAAGCCACTCTCCTCTTCCTCATCTGCTTATCCTGACTCTGGTCTTACTGGGTTCTGACACATGCCATGCTTGGGTTTCGTCTTGAGAAAAGCAAGTCCTAGAGTATCTGCGGGCCCCCTCTTCATAAACACTAATAGTATCCGCTGAGCCCCTGGGAGTGAGCCGTGCTCCTCAGATGATTTAGTTACTATAGCAACCTATGTTCCCAGAGAAACAGGATCTTATCTGTCATACTCTTTAGGAGATATTTTTTAAAATATTTATTTGCTTGTTTTATGCATATGCATGCTTACCTTTCTGCCGGAAGAGGGCACCAGATCTCATTACAGGTGGTTACAAGCCACCATGGAGTTGCTGGGAATTGAACTCAAGACCTCTGGAAGCAGCCGGTGCTCTTAACCACTGAGCCATCTCTCCAGCCCCTCTTAGGAGATTCTTACACACTAGAAGTGATATGATTTCCTATGAAGACATCCTACTATAAGTTGAAGCTATACATCTTAAACCTTTAAAATAGTCACTAAGTATATGACTGCAGTGATAATACAAGAAAATAGGTCACATTTTTAATGACAACAAGAGAAAGAGTCAGTTCACACACTGACCTCTGGAGCAACTTCTGTACTCGTGACCCGGGATTTGTTTTTCTTCCTGAGCCTGCTTAAATTTCCACGAGACCAGCTTGGAACTATCAAAACTTTGCCATATTCAGCCTTTTGGTTGGATTCTGGAACCCACATGATACCTTCTGAATTTGCATTCCTCATGGGAGGGGTTCAGGCTTAGTCTGTAACCTTCTCTTCAAGGATGTAGCTTCATGCATGGGGGACTGTGCCCATCCCATCTGAGATTCAGTTCTTACATGCCATGCTCTGGTAATGTGGGAAAGAGACCACAGAAAATTCAAAACCACATGCTTGAGTGTTAGGACCAGGTCTAGCACATATTGATGGCTATATTAAAAAAATAAATTTTTTGATCAAAATTGTATGCATTTGTCATATATTCTGTAGACATCATCTCTGAATGCCCAAGCAATACAAATAACTATAGGTATAAAACATCACATAAAATGCATGCTAAGAAACAGCCAGGTGTGCTGAATAGTCAGGGCTGAGCTGCGCTCTTCCTGTGAAAACATCAGAATGAACCTCACGGTCATTGCCCAAACTGTCTTCTTCCCCATCTACACCCTTCACCAGGCAATTCGGAGATGAAATAGCACCCGGAGTGTGGTTGTGGCTTTTGTCCAAATCTCCTTGCTGTCGCCATCATTTTTCTTTCATGGTGCTATCATGGCTCATTCTAACAATTCTAAAAAAAAAAAAAAAAAAAAAAGCCTAGCCTGCTTCTCAGTTCGGAGTGTCCTCATGTCATGTCCTCACTTATTCGGCTGTCAGCTTGACAAGTTATTATTCTTCTGCTTATTAGTTCAGCTGGGTGTCACTCGCTGACTAAACCAGATCAACACTGACAAACCGCCCCGAGAGAACTTTGGCTCTGAGCGGAGCATTTTTTTGGCTTTTGTTTTTCTTCATTCTTTTTCAGGATCTGAGAGGGCCAGATGACTGTGTGACCTAGACCCCAGAAATTCCTAAATTCTTGTTTTCCAATTCATAAATCATCTAGTCCCTATTTCATAATGGAATTCTAGTTGTCTAATTTGTATCTCCTCAAACCTTATCATTATTTGAAGAGTTCTAAGCCAAGTTGAGGTGCTAACTTTTTCTTCCAACCTATTGATTATTAGGGCTATGTATGTATTGATCTGAGAAGTTCTATGTAAATATCTATTCATATGGTGCATATCCAGGATTTAAATCCTGGCTGTGTTACTTAAAAGCTTGTATAATTTGGCAGTTCCTTCATTTCCCTATGAGGATGATAATGTCAAATCCCCACAGTGATGGGCTGTAGGGATTACATGTGTTCATCCAGATAAGACACTGAGTGTGGTGAAACTTGCTAGAAGGTAGCCACTGTCACTGTTGGTCATTGGTAGGTCTACTAGTATGTGTTTGCAGATGGAAGGGCTATGGTATTAATGTACACAGGGGTCAAATTTCAGAGGACAAAGTGCGTTTCCACCCAGCTTTAGGGGACCAGGTGAATCCCAATGGAGTATATTTTACTTTTCCTCCTTTACATTGTTATTAAGTTATCAGGCGAAGAGCAGATTTATTTTGAGATATGGTTGATTCCAGCCCTTCAGCCACAGAATGAAGACCTTGTTGGGTGTTACAAGGCTGACTCCCTCCTCTTTGCCTCCTTGCCAAGGCAGGGTGCCCAGTGGTCCAGGGGATATCCGCTGCTACCACCCCCTCTGTCAGTTACAGAATATCTCTTGTTCTTTCCAGTTCCGCACATCCCGGATCTGTGGAGAGTTGTGGGCCCCGCCGGCATGGACGGAGTGAGGAAGGTGGTACTGCTGTGGAAGGTGATCTTCCTTCGCCATACTTAACTCCCTGGTTAAAAGCCTTTGGTGGTAACGTACGTCATTAACCCTGGAACTCAGGAGGCAGAGGCAGGTGGATCTCTGTGAGTTCAAGGCCAGCCTGGTCTACAGAGGGAGTTCCAGGATAGTTGGGGCTACAAAGAGAAACCCTATCTCAAAAAACCAGAAAACAGAGCACAGTTACCCTGTAGAGAGCCCAAGTACACATCACAGACATGGGCTACTTTCTTCAACCTGAATCATTATAATTGGGGCAATTACAAAGTGCAACTACAGGCTGCACCGTGGTCTTCCTGAGGAAGCTACCCTGGGGCTGCCATCCCCTAGAATACAGTGCAAGATTTTGCAACCTCATCCTTACACCCAAGAAGGGCATCAACAGGGGTCAGGGCACTGGGCGTCAGGTCATCTGATATTGCCAACATATTTGATACACATGTTCCTTTAAGTACTAAAGTAGTGTGGTGTGCAAAGGCAGAAGAGCGGTCACATGATCCTTTCTAGGATAAAAACCTGGACCTGAGGGAAAAGAGAAGATGGTAGGTGATACAGGGAAGACAGGGAGGGAGGAACTAAGAAGAAAAGAGGAGGGGAAGGGACAGGAAGAACAAAGAGGTAAACAGGAAGACAAGCTGCAGGAAGCAGAAAGGAAAGAAAGGAGAGGTTGAAGGGAGTAAGAGATGGTGAAGAGGGAAAGTCTGTCAGAGCTCCATCTGATGTGTCTCTAGGGCTACTAGGAAGTAATCCATTTGCTGAAGCTTGGCAGCATAAAGCTTTTTAAATGGAGACATCACCCTAGCCGGCTGAGCGCCATTCAAAACCAATTGCTTCAGGCTTCACACTGCTTTTGTCTGTGTCCTCAGGGCACCCGTAGGTGGCAGAGGCAGGGGCATAGGAGAGCACAGTCAAAGTTGAGAAGTCGTTGATACGAACCTCAGATGCGGTGAGGTGTGGGAAGAGATGCCTCTGTTCACACTCTGTCTTCAGGCAGGAAAGTGAGGGATGAACCTTGTGAGGTCTTATCTATACTGTGGCAGGCAAGAGGCCAGCCTGAGAAGTAAGTGACCAGGCTTTCCCGCCTGCCTCCTCCTCCTTGCTATGCCTCAGTAGGAGAGGGTTTTCTAAGAATTCAACTTACTTAGCAAAGCATTCACTAAAAGACTCGAAAGTCTGATAGTGGTAAAGGTGGTGAGAGTCTAGGATTGTCCTGGAAATCGCTGACCTGGACACACTGAAGTAGTGAGAATGATGGGCTCAGTGGTGGGGTGTTTGGCTAGCGTGGGTAAGGCTGAAAATGAACAGAAAATAAAACCCAGCAAATTTTATAAACTATGAGCACCATACCGGCAAAGGCTAAAGGGGAAAGAAAGATAAGGCATTGTCTTGGGAGACAGGGGAACCCACATCATTAGAGATTCTAGCTGGTCTTTCATTGCTGTGGTCAATGAAAGGGAATTCCTGGACTATGATAATGCTGGGTCAACGTGAATTAAAACTCTGTCTGACCACAGGTCCTCTCATTCTGCTCCATGATGCTTGCAATCATTAACGAATACCGGAAAACTTGGAATCCCTATAATTCCCGGGAAATATTCCATATGTTTACTTGCAGGCAAAACATCTGGTCAGCGGCTCTAAGTTTAAGGCTACAAATAGGAATCTGAGTCACAGTTTGTGGGCTTGCACTTCGGGTTTTCCTGCTGAGAGGACTGGCAGGGAAGCCCTGAGTCTTTTGGCTGGATTACCTTGCTGGATGTCTGGTCCAGGACAGCTGCCTTCCCTCTTTAGAGCGGGGAGCTACGGGAGTAAAAGATAAAGGCACAGCTACCCACCCACCTTTGACGACTTCTGAACTTGATTTTGGCCCAGAAGGGAAGGCCTTGACTTTTTAGCTTTTATACCTCTGCCTGCACATGATAGAATTAAGGACGTGGAAGGAAGTAGACGTGGCTTGCTAGTATCAGTCTGGACCCATGAAACTGGACTCATGTTGAGAGTTGATATGCACGCACCATTTGGTAAATCATCTCTTCTGGAACTTGAAGGGTTAACATCACCACAGGGCAAATGTTACAACTTAGCATCTGATGGCTAACATGATATCGCTCCGTTTATCACTGTCCCCATGTCTTTCTCGTTCTGGTTTCCACAATCTCCTTTCTTTCCTTTGGATACAGAAGGCAAAAGGAGCCCCCGTCCTGGAGAGAACACTTGGCTACAACATACAGTACTTTGCAGAAAACAGCACCAACCTCACAGAGATAAACAATGTTACTAACCAGCGGTATGAACTGCTTCTGACGGGTCAGACATACCGTGTGTCTGTGACTTCTTTTAATTTTCTTGGGAAATCTCAAGAGGCCGTCCTGAGGATCCCAGCTGCTCATGAGGAGAGTAAGTACCCCTTAAATTCCATCTGGTTGAAGAAAGAGCAGTCCGCGCCCTCGGGGTAGTTGTTCCTCCTGAATCAAATTGAAGAGTTGGGGAAACAAGGGCTCTTTAGGTTGTTGTGGGGGAACAGAACCCGCTGATAACCAATAAGACCTTCCACCCCAAAATACAGTTCCTTCGGAGCAAAATCTGGGCTATATATTTAGAGACTGAATCACACAGCACGGTCAGCGCCTGGAAGCTGTGCACGCTACTTTTGTTGGTTCTGGTCCAAGTGGTTGGGTGATGGGTTGAGCCACAGAAAAGAACACAGTCGTATTTGAGGCCTATGTCCTCAATGACTGTGTGCTCTCCTGAACCCTCCTCTTCCCAGATGGCTCTGTCCCAGCTATGGTTTAGTGTTCACTCTCCTGTTTTTCTCTTTCCCCTTCCATCTGATGGCCCAGCTAGGAAAACTGCGTATATGCGGATATACACTTGCCAGTTAGTTGTTTGTTAAATTCCTTTGAGACAAGACCTCACTCTGTGGCCGGCCTCTAACTTACAGACCATTCTGCTTCAGCCTCCTGAGGGACGGTATTGCTGACACTAGCCTCCTGAGGGGCGGTATTGCTGACACTAGCCTCCTGAGGGGCGGTATTGCTGACACTAGCCTCCTGAGGGACGGTATTGCTGACACTAGCCACCACGTCTGGCAGTTACGCTGTTGCTGAAGTAGTTCTGAGTATTTTACCAAACTCAGGCAAAGCAGCAAAGCCTTATTTTCTATGTTTTAGAATGAAAAGCCTTAGTGGATTGTGCGTGAGGGAGTGAGCGCTGTATTGCATGTTTGCATGGGTGCATGTGTGTGTGCATGTGTACGAGTGAGCACACACCACTGTGGAGGCCAGAGGTTGATACCTTTCTCCATAACTCTCCCCACTACTGTTTGGAACAGGATCCCTCACTGAACACAGAACTCATCTATTGACTAATGACCCGACAGGAAATGCCCTCCAGGCTTTCTCCCGTGCTGTGACTGCAGACATGCTCTGCCATGCCTGGCTTTTAAGTGGGTACTCGGGACCCAAACCCAGCCCCTCGTGCTTGTACAGAGAACACCTACTGAGCTTTCTCCTCAGCCTCCTCACTTTGGGATTTGTATTTCAAACTTGCCCTCCTCCTCAGGTTTCTACTTCCTCAGTCAAACTTAGTACAATCTCTCTCTCTCTCTCTCTCTCTCTCTCTCTCTCTCTCTCTCTCTCCCTCCCTCCCTCTCTCCCTCCCTTCCTCCTAACATTTTCTTTTTCAAGAGAATGCATACCCCATGAGGGCAGTAAATCTTTTAAAATAATATTTTTATTAATTCTTGAGAATGTCATATGATGTATTTTGGTCACATTCATCTTCTCCTACCTCCTGCTAGATCCACCCTCTCCCCCCAGCCTCCTCATCTCTCCCTCCCCATTAGAGTTTCCTTCTTCTGTTTCTCCCTCCCCCCATGAGTCCAATTTGTGTTGTCCCGCTACTCTTGAGAGTAGACCCAGAAGACAGGGTTTTGTCTGTTCATTTGCCAGGTTTTGTTTGTTTGTTTCTTTTTTAAAAACTATAATTTCTGACACGCCAAACAACATAGCAGCTGGCATAGACATCTAAGAACTGTTCTAATTGTTTCCTCTGTTTGTTTAGCCAAGCCTGGCTCAGACATTTGTACAACTAGCTCTAGACTTCTCTGCCTGCCGTTCCCTTCTCTTCTTAAACCTTACCCTCTTCTGTCTTCATTTTAGAATTCTGGGAAACTCATAATTTTGTGTTTTGAGTCAATGTTTAATAGTATTGAGACAGAGTTTCTCTGTGTAACAGCGCTGGCTATCCTGGAACTCCCTCCGTAGATCAGGCTCAGAGCGAACTCAGAGATCCCTCAGCCTCTGCCTGCTGAGTGGTGGGATTAAAGATCTGCACCACCATGCCCAGCTGGTTCTTACCATCTTTGTTCCAGTGTTTGGAAGTCTAGTGATATTTTCAACAAATGATATGTGATTGGAATATGTATTCTTTGTTAAATAGAGGCACTGGTGGTTCCCACCGTGGCTCTGTAATGGGAAGCAGTAGAGAACAAGGGATGGGCGGATGGTCCTTGGAGTCCAGCAGCTCTGGCTTCAAATCTCTGCTCTTCCACAAAGCACCATTACCATCGGAAAAGCTAGCTAACCTCTTTAGAATGGGCATAAACTAGAACGCTTTCATAATACAGCCACATCACAAACTGTTGTGAGGAGGGAGTGAGATTCTCTCTGGTAATGTTGCCCCGCGTGGATCTCTACCATCTTCGTTTTGAGGCAGGGTCTCGTGTAACTAAGTTTTCCTCAGACTCACAAAGCAGTGGATGATCTTGAGTTTCTGACTCCCGCGTTCCTTCTTCCAAGTGTATTACCAAACCAGGTACATGCTGTGCCGAGGATTGAACCAGGGTCTCAAGCACTCTACCAGTTGAGTTCATCTCTGGTCTCATTGTTATTCTCTCTTGTCTCCCTATCTCTGTCTCATTCCCTCCCTCTCCAGTGCTGGGGGTTAAACCCAGCACTGTGGGTGCAATACAACGAAGCTGTCTACCACTGAGCTACTGGGTGATATCCGTACCCACTACCATCATTCTTAAGAAAGTTCTGGTTAATTAAATTTCTGTTAGATATGGGTTGCCACCTTAAAAATACTATAAAATTCACTTTAACTAGAGTTATGCTAAATTCACCAAGGTTTTTTTTTTTTAATTTTTGTACTGAAACTATTGCCTATAATGGTCCTAGACAAAGTACTGGTAATCTGGCCTGGCACATTTTTATTTTCCACAAATGAAGTTTTTGAAATATTGCCATATGCATCTTTCCATGTACTCTGTGGCTTCTTTGTCCAACAGTTGTGTCCTAGGTGGCTGTGTTATGTAGCTGTGAACACTAAGCCGCTTACTGCCTGGCTCTTACAGAGGAAGTTTGCAGAATGTTGTCCTAGACAACCAGGAAAGCATAAGTCATCCTTTTCCCGTATCAGTGACCACGGACAGCGGCAGATATTTGGTGCAGTACCCATGTGTGGCAAAGGCTTTATCCGTGCATGGTAATGGAGACACTGGAAACGATGACGTCCCTTATACCTCTGGCTGCTCTTTCAGGGTTTATCATAATTTATCACAGAAAACTAAGACTCTCCAAGATTTTGTTTAATAAAATCAGCTGGGAAAGAGTTAGGTAATAATATTTTCGATGCTTAACTATCACTGCATTAATATGATCAGTGCATGCTGTGTATTAGGCTGTGTCAGGTGTTGTGATAAGATGACACAGGCTGTCTCAGCCATGAAATGGCCCATGATGCAGATGCCGTAGATCTGTCTTCCACATGATGAAAAGATCCGGGAAAGTTTTGCAGTTTGTGCACGATTTCCCCAGTGCGATTCCAGCCTGTCTCCATGAACTAAACTGCCAAAATTCGTGTTCATAAGGTGACTTTGGGATTCTGGTCACAGATGCTGTACGAGCCAAGATGGTTATGTGCCTCTGTGGGCCCCATGTTCTCATCTTTAGAATAAAGGCTTGGCAAAGATAACCCTTCAGGGTCCCTCTACTTGAACTTCCTGACTTTTATGTGTCTTTGGTCACGGGCAGCGGTGATCTGGTACAGGAAGTGGAAAAGAAAAGCCACTTGTGGTGAGTTAGCCTGCAGGACAGTGGGGACGGCATCATGGAGAGCTGGTGATGAGTCTCAGCCGGCAAAGGGGAAGTGGTCCTGAGAATGGTATTTACTAGATCCGGGGTGATCTGTCATAAGATAAAATGATGCTTGCAGTCCAACCTCTCCCCTGCTTTCAGGGCTAATCTTGTTTTCCTCTTATTCTTGAGAATGTTTTATAACGGGAGCAGGTTCCTCTTGATGAGGAATGGAAGGAGCCAGTGATTAGTCTTTATTCTGTAGGATGATTTAGAAGCTTGTCTCTTAGTGCTCCTTAATGAGGCCAGGCCACCCCTCTTGCATGACTGACTCATAGTTTCTGGACTCGTTTCCAACCTCCTCGTGATCTTCTCCTAGCCTCATACCTGGCACGTTAGACCTAGCTCTCCTGCTCTTTCCAAGCTCCAGGATGGGTGGGCAGGAAGAGTATGAGGTTTGAAAGCCGAGCTCACTCATCTGCAGGGCAGGATTCCTTGACAAGCCTTTTGTTACCAAAGTGCCTCCAGGAGACCGGAGGAGGAAGTGGAAGACATAGGAAGGCAGGGAGGAGGCTAATTAAGTCAAGGCACTACCTTATTGTCCCACTGCCAACTGGGCTGCTTAAAACAACGGGAACACATTGGTTAGGGAGGCTAGAGGTATAAAAAGCAAGTTGTGGACTGGACCATGTTCCCCGGCAGAGTCCCTAGACGAGGACCCTCCTTAATCCTTCCATGCTTCTTGTGGCCCTAGGCTCCGGCTTGGGGCAGCTCCAATAACGCCTATCTCCCTTGCTCCTTCTCTTTCTTTTCCTTCCTTCCTTCCTTCCTTCCTTCCTTCCTTCCTTCCTTCCTTCCTTCCTTCCTTCCCTTCCTTCCCTTCCTTCCTTCCTTCCTTCCTTCCTTCCTTCTTTCCTTCCTCTCTTCCTTCCTTTCCTTTCCTTTTCTCTTGAATGTGTTTCTGCGCATGTTAATTTGTATACATGTGTGGAGACCAGAGGCAGACATCAGTTGTCTTTTTTAATTGCTCTCCACTTTATTTTTTATTTTCTAATTTTTTTTAAAAAAATATATGCATTGGTGTTTGACTTGCATGTCTTTGTGAGGGAATCAGATCCATTGGAACTTGAGTATAGTTGTGAGCTTCCGGGAACTGAACCCAGGTCCTCTGGAAGAATAGCTACTGTTCTTAATCACTGAGCCATCTCTCCAGCCCCAATCTCTCCACTTTATTTTTTAAGATCCTCTGTGTGTGTGTGTGTGTGTGTGTGTGTGTGTGTGTGTGTGTGTGTGTGTGTTTGAAACTTGTTATGTAGGCAAGCTGGCCTCAAAGAAGATGCTCATGCCTCTGGCTCCGAAGTGCTGGGGTTAAAGTCATGCACCACCACCTCCTCCTAGATGTATTATTTTTAATCATGTGTATATGTGTGTGTCTGTATGTGGGTGTGTACATGTGAGTGTAGTTGCCCCGGAAGACCATAGGCATTGGATCCCCCGATCTGATAGTACTTGTGAACATCCAATGTGGGTGCTGGGAACCCAGTTCTAGCCTTCTGCAAGAACAAGTTCTCTTTACTGCTGGGTCATCCCAGCAATGAAGAGACACGGTTCAATCATTGATCCTGGAGGTCATCAGCTTAGGTAGACCAGCTAACCAAGTGATTTCAGGGGTTCTCCAGTCTCTGTCTCCCCAGTCTACTGAACTCAGTGTTTTATGTGGGTGTTGGAGATCAAATTCAGTTCCTCGTGCTTGTGTCTTAAGCACTTTCCTGACTGAGCCATCTTCCTGACCTTGCCCTTCACAATTATCTCTTTCTCATAAGGACATCAGTTATGTTGAACGCAGGGCCCCCCATCCACACCACATCTACGGGATCTCATCTTCACATAAGGTCATTTTCTGTAGCTCTGGGGATATCGTTTTGGACGATACTCATCAACTCATAAGAGATGTGTGCAGGGGGAGGAAGGGGTAGGCAAGTGGAGGCAGGGAAAGTAGGGTGAAGCAGGGGGAGGCAGGGGAGAAGAGTCAGGAGTCCTGTGGAAGAGGGGGCAATGATGTCCGGGCTCTGTGCTTCTCTCCCAGGATCTGCCCCTGCCTCATCTTCACATCTTCAAGCCTTACTTTTCTCAGAGCCACCTTTTCAAGTGGACAAATTACCTGGCTTACGTCCAGGAGTAGCAATTGGAATCCCAAATCCATAGCCAGTTTGGGAACCCATGAGCTTTTAGAGATGAGAATAGGTTTCCACTCCTGCTGGGAGAGGTTTTGACTGGCAGAGAAGGCAATGGGACATAAGTCCTTTCGGGTTCTAGCTCACTAGAGAGGTCTGTTTCTGGAAAGCGGTTAGTTTGTGGGTGGGTAAGAGCAGATTAAGAAGTCATTTCATCATCAGAGAAATTTGGTAAAGAAAGGGGAAAAGGCTGAGAATAAATTGGTAAGAGATGATACAGTGGCGATCTTACCGTCTGGCAATGAGGGTTGCCAGTGGGGCTGGTACATTTGGGCCGAGTGCGGCAGCTGTGGATATGTTTTTTCCTCTCTCTTCAGCCATCCAGTGCATCAGAGACATGCAGGCCCGCCTTGCTGAGCCTCTGCTGGTGGTGGAGTGGGAGAGCTCAATTCCTGAGGTGGACTCTTGGGTGGTGGAGTGGCTCCCAGAAACGGCAGAGTCGGAGTTCTCTGCCCTTTCCTGGGAGTCCGTGTCTCACGTCACAAACTGGACCATTGAGCAAGGTAGGTGGCACAGACCCTGCAGCCTCCCTTGATGCGGGATTCGGTTTCATTGAAACCAGCTTTTGAGTTCTCTTTAAAGCTGTAGTGTGAGGGACAGCACGGGGGAAGTTTAGTAACTGTCATGGTTCTCAGCGTGTCCCCGGTGAAGCTGGCACAGGAAGCCTGTCCCCAGGTGGGAGGTAAACGTGACCTTCTCCATACATGTCACTAGAGACTCAGGGAATAATGGTGTCTACTAGCCACCTTGTCAGGGCTAATCATAATTTAACATAGAAAAGGGAGTCTTTTTAAAATAATATTTTAATTGAGTCTGATAATTTCATGTGCACACGCAATGCATTTTGCCTGTATCTATGCTAACTCCTCGCTCTGACTTCACCCAGACCCACTCCCCATTTTTCCCCTACCCCCCCAACTTTCTGTTCCTCTTTTTTTCTTTTATCTTTTAATGACCCACTGAATTTAATTAGTGCTGCCCATATCGGCATAGGTGTGTGGCCATCCACTGGATAGTGGTTGACCTACTGCAGAGTGGGGTACACATGCTTAAAGAGAGCTGACTCTCCCCCCCCACACTGTCCGCCATCAACTGTCCATAATCATGCCTCAGCTGGGGTGGGGCTCATGAGCTCCTGCCTGCTTCATGCTGGAATGTTGACTGGTTTGAACATGTGCACAGTGACCACAGCTGCTGTGAGCTCAACAATGTAGTGTGCCTGCCATGCCCCCAAAACCCACAATCTTCACCTTTACCTAAGCAGAGTCCCAGTTATCCTGGGGTGACACCAGACTTTGGGTACCCTTTGTCCTACCTCAGAAGCTCCATTCTGTCTTAGTGGCCCATTTAAGAGTTAGGCCCCTTCCTCAGCGACAGACAGAGTAAATAGACTTTATTTCAAAAAAGTCCATTCCCTGTGTAAGACTTAAGTTAGCTTTGCCTGGGATGTCTCAGCACTCCAGGTACTTCATGGCATCTATATTAAGAATGTGCTAGCCAGGCATGGTGGCATGTATTTATAGCCCCAGTCCTCTGGAGGCTGGATAGAGTGGAGGATAGAGTGGACTATCCTGGGCTTTATCACGAGACTTTGTCTCCAAAAACAAACAAAAAGCCATATAAAGAAACACAGGCAGATAGAGGAGCTAGAATTCAGGGTATTTTGTATATACTGTTGTCAGAAGGGTTAAATTTTATTCAGCATGTGCCCGAATCATATGATACAATCAGCAATGGAGGGGGAAGGACTGGCTTCTCTCCCTGTTCATGACGGGGCTGTAAATTTTATTACTAGAACTGTCTTCACTTTAGTTCTGGGAGTTAGAACATTTTAGAACAAGAAGAGATGGTAGAGACCATCTTGCCTAGAAACAGAGTGTCTTCTGCAGGGCATCAGTCCTTCGTTTCCTCCATTCTGCCATTATGTGTACTTATGCAGTTTTTTCTCTCCCTCTCCCTCCCCCTCTTACCTCAAGATAAATTACAGCCTTTCTTGTGCTATAATATATCAGTGTATCCAGTGCTGGGACAAGAAGTGGGCCAGCCATATACCATCCAGGCTTACGCCAAAGAAGGAGGTACGTGTAGCTCAACCTTGGCGGGGGCCCACTTTCGTGAATTCAGATGCTGGGTTGTCATCAGGTCATCATTTCTACCACAGCTTAATCTTCCCTTTCAGATGTGTGTGTTTGACACACCTGGGCCCAGTTACAGAGTCACTAGATTTCAAAGGCGGGCAGGTATAAATAAAGAGTTCAACAAAGCCGGTCACTTCCCACTTTACAAAGGGGAAAGCGAGGTTCCCAGAGGCGAAACTCCTTGCCTGACGGTACAACACAGCAGCAACTAGCGCTGGAGCCAAAGTTAACGTTAATTAAGATCAATCCAGGAAGCCCATCAAGGTCATCAGATACACGTTCAAAGTGGTTCTCTGTGTGTGTGCATGTTCAAAGTGGTTCTCTCTGTGTGTGCATGTTCAAAGTGATTCTCTGTGAGTGTGTGCATGCTGGCCGTGTGTGTTTTGGTGCACATGTGTAGAGGCCAGATGTCAAATCTCACTTGCCTTCCTCAGGAGCCATCCACCTTCTTGATTTTTTGAGACTGTCCTGCTGGGACCCAGGGCTTCCCCATTAGTCTAGGCTGGCTCACCAGCAATGCCCAGAGATCTGCCTGTCTCTATCTCTTCAGCTTCGATATTACAAGCTAGGTCACCATGGCCAGCTTTTTACATGGACCTCATGCTTACATGGCAAACGCTTTAGCAACTGTGCTGCTATCTTGCAGCCTCCAGGATGACTTTTAAGAAACAATGAACTTGGGCTTTCCTGCACGTTACTCGGACTGTATTTCATCTGTTTGAAAGTTAGCATCTTCTAGCTTCAACGCTGGAAACTGTCTCCTGGTGTATAAGGGTTGGCCAGGGAGGTCATAGCTATGCTTTACATATAGAAATGAAAGCTGGGTGATCATTGGAATGGGGGACCCATAAGAAAGCACATTTTCTTGGGGCTTTGAAATTCCTTGTTGTCTTACATAATAGGCCTGACTGAAAACAAAACAGCCTGTACAAACAAGTTGATGCATTGGTTCCCCCTTTCAGTCGCCTTATTCCACCCCAAGCATTTCAGGTCTTACTTGAACAATGGTAGCAACTCTGGGGTAGGGGTGGATCTTCCTGGGTGGGATTCAACCTTCGTTTTTTTGGTTTTTTTTTTTTTATCTCCTGTCATCTGAAGCTCCATTAGAAGGTCCTAGGACCAGGGTGGAGAACATCGGTCTGAAGACAGCCACAGTCGTGTGGGAAGAGATTCCCAAGAGTGAACGAATGGGATTTATCAATAACTACACCATATTTTGCCAAGCTGAAGGTGAAAAAGAATTCTGTAAGTGTGCTCAAGTTGAGCAAACTCAATCGGTCCCCCTCCCCAGATGATGTGACTAGACCTGACACAGGGGTGACTTCCAGGGCATGATCTGTACCTTACACAAATACCTAGCCTCTTCGTACCTCTCTGAATGTAGAGTCAAGAGCACCACCTCATGAAATAGTTGAAAGAGTTTAAAGGAGAATGTAGGCAAGCGTCCTAAAGAGGAATGGTGGGAGGGGGCGCTGAAGTGATTTCTCCTGCTCGGTCACGGAATGGTTTGCTCTACCCCCTCAGACTCCGGTGACCATTATTCCTAGCAGGATCTGCCCAGCTTAAGGAGTGGGTTCATATGCGGGGACAGACTTTGTCTGGTGGCACTGCCTAGCTGCAGAGCTCCATTGACCACTACCTGGGTACTTCATTTTAAGTCCACAGTATCTCCTGGCACCGTAAGCGCTAGGCTATATTTGGATTCTCATTTAGGTTAAATTTGATTTTGTTATGGTAGGGTATGCACAATGTAAAAATTAGCACTAAACATTTTTAGATCTTAAGAACATTTATGGTATTGTGTAGCCATCGCCTTTCCCTGTTTCCTCTCCATATGAGAGCTCTGTATTCTTTAATCAGTGGCTCCCCATTCCCCTTCCCCCAGAGCCTCTGGAAACTACCAGACTGTGTCTATTGATTGTCTGTTCCGATTATTTCAAAGAAATAATCGGGGCTGAGGGGGCAGCTCAGAGTCCAAGCACTCACTTAGCATGCACGAGGCTCTGAGTTCAATGCAAAATAAAATAAATAAATCTTATAGCACGTGGTTTCTCAGGTATCTCATTTAGAAACTATTTTTTTCTAGTCACTAAAGATATGGAGCAGCCCTCTGTGTAGTCATTGGCCACTTGTCCACTTTCTTCAGAGAAATATCCTCTTATTCACCCATTTTAACATCGGGTTGTCTTTGTGGTTTTGAGTTATGAGTTCTTTATATCGTGGGTACAAGCTCCTTATCAAATATATAGCTTACAAATATTTTCTTCATTTTGTAGATAGTTATTTCAGTCTTATACTGTCTTGTGATGGAAAAAGCATTTTAATTTTTAATGAAGTTCAGATTACTATTGTTTTATGTAGTTGCTCATGCTTTCGGTATCATAGTTTTAAAAACCATTCACAATTCAAAGTTGTGATTTATTTATCTTGGCTTTTGAAGAGTTTTATACTTAGGTCTTATTTATATTAGGACTCTTATATTTAGGTCTTTGGTCCATCTCGATGGACTTGAATTAAGCAAAAGTTGAAAGAGGGTTGGCTAGAATTGCAGGCCAGGGCTTTGAGGGTCAGCGCTAATGCATACCTTCAGTTTGTTTTGCTGAACTGTTCAGCTTCTGTTTCTCCCTTCAGCCAAGACAGTTAACTCACAAGTCCTGCAGTACAACCTGGAGTCTTTGACACGAAGGACCTCTTATACCGTATGGGTTGTGGCCAGCACTGGAGCTGGGGGGACCAACGGGAAAACAATAAACTTCAGGACCTCGTCAATCAGTGAGTACCAGCTTCAGGCCTCCTCGTGGAGTTTCCATTGGGTTGGAGATGCCATTTGTCAAGAGCCAGGAAGCCCCAGAATGCAGCAGAGTGCGAAGCCTTACGCTCTCTCTGGGTCAGTCACCTCCCTGAAAGATGAACACTCAGGAGCTGCAGGGGAGTAGGCCCACTGAGGGCTGAGTAAGACAGACTGCTCACTTTGTTCCTCCTTCCTGATAGGCAGCCCCCCAAAAACCTTCGGGGCAGCAATCAACTTCAGCCTCAGCCATGAGTAGTTCCACGGCAGGCTGTCATCCTACCTCACACTCGCTAGATTCTAAATGTCAGGGGTTGTGCAACAGAACCTTGGAAGAAAAAAACTGGCCAGTCAGAGGTGACAGGTGAACAGGAAGAGACTCAATGTCGCCATCTGTGGGGTTTTTGAGCAAAAATAGGTGTGTGTGTGTTCAGCTTACATTTTACATTGAAAGCACGGAGAGCAAGACCTTGATAGATTAGCAAATAATGTAAAATATAGTAGTTTCATGTGGAGGTTGGCTAAGGAAGATATTTAGTAGGAAGGCGGTGGATATGTACTAGATGAAGGAAGAAGAAGGGAAAAGCCTGGTCTACAGAGTGCATCCCAGGATAGCTGGGGTTACACCGAAGGACCCTGTTTCAAAAAACCAGAAAAATAAAACATGAGCGGCATTGTTAAGTTTTGCAATAAGTAGGATAAGCCAAAAAAAAAAAAATAAAAAGGTCTTCTTGTACATCTCAAAATCCTTTTGTGATTCATACACCAAAAGAATACAGTGGGCTGTGCCTCTGGAAACTGCGAGCAGGGCGTGTGCCTTTACACAGAAAGCATGCTCTCCTCCGTGGACTAGCAATGTCATCTTGGAATTCTCTTTGGTGCTGCCTTTGAAAAATTCTTTAAAAACAAATCATGCTGTATTTTCAGAGCAAGGGATACAAGCTGTGGCAGCTCATGGTATTTTCTCTCAGGATCAAACTGAAATTAAGATCCTGCGTCGGAGCCTAGGATTTCCCTCTTTGGTTTGTAGCTTAGATTACAGACCACTCTACTTCCGTTCACCCCGCCTTTTTTTTTTTTTCTTTTGAAAATGTGTGTAGCTGAGTGAACTTACGTGGACCACATACAGAAGAGGGTTCACATCGCCTGGAACTGGAGTTACAGTTACAGGCAGTTGTGAGTGGCCATGTGGGTGTTGAGAGCTAGGTCCTCTACAAGAGCAGCTAGTGTTCCTAACCGTCTCTCAGCCCTCTATAAGACACTCAGACACAGCGGTCACAGGTTCAAGTTCTAGATTCCCTGCAGAAAACCCACCAGTCACTGCCCGCCCCTTGCCTCATTTCCTTTCACTCCCTGCCTCTGTTTCTCTCACTTGCTCCTTCTCCAAGGCTTGTGCATCTCCTGGAGTGCTTTTCTCTGCAATGGTGCAGGGCAGCTCTTTCTCGTAACCAGGCATGGTGCCGTAAGCCAGCCTCAGGGCACAAGAGGTAGGGGCAGGAAGACAGGAAGTATAAGGTTAGATCAGTCTACATGGTGAGTTCAGGCCAGTTTGGGCTACACAATGAGATAAACTCTATCTAAAAAAATTAAATAAATAGTACATACATAAATGCAAAATTAAGTTGTTAACCTCCCTCCACTTTACCCTCGTTACTCTACTTGGTTACTCTGTTTTAGACTCTCTAAAAGAACAAAACTGATATGACTTAGGTAACTGGAGTCAAGGCTTTCCAACAGTGGCCACCAGCGTGCTGCCAAAACAGAGACCCTGGGAGCTGCTCAGTCTTAGAAGTTAGAATCTTTAGAATGAGAGTTGAGTTAATGATACAGTCCCTGTCTAAAGCTGGAGGCTTGGAAGCTCTCTGGAGAGTTGCTAGCGTGAGTTCATGTCCATACACTGGCTAAGCTGAAGTCTGAAATCCATGGGTAATGGCCCTAGCAATCAGCATTCACGCTCAGGAAGAAGGGAACTTGTGCTTGCTGACTGGCTTTCTCTTTTTCCACTTTTATCCTATCTGGGTCCCTGAATGCTGGTACTGTTGACATTCATGGTGGGTCTTCCCCTAAGTTGCTCTCCAGGGTCAGTCCTCTGAACACACCCTCACAGAGACACAAAGCATGTTTTTACTGTTTAGTAGGCATCCCTCAGTCCAGGCAAATCAATAGTTAGAGTAAGTGTCAGAGTTTTACTGTGTGCGTCTTTCTACCCCAGTGTATAAGAACCAGTGAGTAAGGATCTGGTATTTTTTTTGCTTTCTTATTTGTTTTATTTCTCAGAATGATGTCTGGCCAATAGTTATGCTCAGTAAGTCCTGACTGAATGAATGAAGTTGGAAGATGACCCTGGTGAATACATCTATCAGTATATAATGTCTAATATTTGACGATGTCATAACGAAGCCCATTATTCTGTATAAGTGATATATACTAATACGAAAGAAAAATTATCAATATCTATCATATCACATGGAGGAAAGACAGCTGGATGGGGAACCAAAATTCCAATGGTTTTAATAGAAAGAAATTGAATTCAAGTAGAAGAAAATTAATGAGAAATGCTACTGAGGCTAAAAGAAAAAGTTATTATTTGATTTTTGTCAATGAATCGGGAACTATATTGACGATGGTATTTTGTTCTCTTTGTTGCAAAGGTGTCTTTGAAATTATCCTCCTGACATCTCTGGTTGGAGGAGGCCTTCTTTTCCTTAGCATCTTCACGGTGACGTCTGGTCTCAAAAAGCCAAAGTGAGTTTCTAATTGACAGTGATTATCTTTAAAATGAGCAGCAGAAAGCGGTGGAAGGCGCCGTGGCCCTGGTATCAGAGGGCGTTCCTTCCTGAGGGGGTGGCATTCATTCATTCCTTTGGTTCATCTTGGTGGAAATGATTAAAGGCCACTCCCTCAGACTCATCAGAACTCTAACAAACAAGAAGACGTATTTGTACAGGTCTGTACACCAAGTCTAGATTCCTTGAGGCCAAGGGGGACCAGCTGCCCCATAGGCTCTTTCTTTCAGCGTCTGTCTATCACCTGAGGCTAGTGTGGAGAGACCGATCCCTGGAATCAGGGTGTTAGCCAGAACGGTGGGAACACAGATCTGGTCTTTGTGGCGCAGAGGTGGAGGGCTGGCTGCAGGCACATTTATCCTGCCTGCTGTTGCCAGTGTGGGGGAAATGTTTGTCTTTCGCATCTTGTCTTACTCCTTGCAGTGAGCCTTATGCTGCCCCAGCGTTTCTGCTTGGTAGAGCGCTCTGCATTGGCCTCTGTGAGCTTGCTCTGCCCAGCAGCTGTGATTCATGCGTGATTACACTCATGTCACCGTCAACTGCCAACAGTATGGTGCGGCCAAGGCACAGCACAGGTTTTTGCACACCATGCTCTTGAGTAACCATCTTTAATCTTGGTACATGCCAAAATCAGGTCCTGCCCCCAAGGGCATCTGACTCAGAGTTATGGGATAAGACTAGGAATCTGGATTTTGATTAGTTGGTGATGCTGGTGCTGAAGTTGCGAACATCCTTTGGGACCACTATGTAGAAGTGTGGGTGGTTAGTATACTAACTGCTCCCAAGAATGTATTTGCCAAGAGTGGCTGTAATTCAGTACCCATTATCAGGACAGGGGTAGGGATGCAGGGGGGATGGAGAAAGGAATGTAAGGACATAATTACATGGGGGAAGCATGTGTCTCCTTTTGTAGTATCCCATAGACAACTGCTTCCTATTTCCTGTCAGGCTAGAGTGTGGAAGCTTACACTTATTGAATAGGGAGCTCTGCAGTTACTTTCTGTCTTTCATTTTCTATTGCTATGATAAGACACTGTATCAAGGCAGCTTAGAAACTTTTTATTTGAGACTTCCAGTTTCAGAGGGTTAGAGTCCATGATGGTTATAGTAGGGAGCGTGGCAGGAGGCTGAATGGGCTCTGGGGCAGGATCTGAGTGCTCACATCTCGAGACAGCCATATGAGACCGAGATGGGTGGGCTTCTGAAACCTCAAGGCCTGCCCCCAGTGACACACCTCCTCTTACAAGGTCAAACAGTTCGACCAACTGGGGTCCGGGTATTCAAACAGATGAGCCTGTGGGGGACATTCTAATTCAAATAACAGTGCTCTTCTTGAACAGGGAGTCACACAGTTGCCGTTAGTAAGCCTTGCCCTTAGCTCAGCCACACACTACACATGGACCACACCTCGAGCTTACCTCCTTTGAAATCTCATCTTTCAATAGCCGGTTGACTCATCTGTGTTGTCCTGACGTTCCCAACCCTGCTGAAAGTAGTTTAGCCGCATGGATCGGAGATGATTTCAAGGTACGTGTTGCTGGGTTTTGTCTAGAAAACTATGTAGGCTGGCTGGGGGAGGTGGAGCAGGTGGATGGGCTGGGGAGAGGCTTTCCTCAGGGTTCATTGAGAAAAAACTGAAGTTTGAGAGACCCAGGAAGCAACTGAAAGGGCGGCTGGAATCAGCCTTCCCGCTAAATACCTAAGTTATTATTTCCCCCTTAAGAGTAATCAGCCCAGTGAACTATAGCTCTTAAATCCTTATTATTGAATGTCCTTTCATAGGTTTTCCTTGATGTAAGAATTTAAAATGTTAGTCTTTTTTTTTTCAACTTAGAATTTATTTTTTTTAAAGGGGCATTTTTGTAATGAACTGTTTCTGTTCCCTCCTTTTCTTGTGTTATATGTTGGCCTCTCTGCTCTCCTGTTTATTAAGTTAATGAAATGTACTTTGCAGAGTGTGCAGGTCGGGCCTCTCCAGCATGTACTGGTTAATTCTTAACTGCCTGCCAGGCATGGGGCAGCAGGAGACAAAGATGGCAGAGCCCTGCCCTGTTGTGAGGTGGCCTTAGATTTCCTGGTGGTGTCTACCTTTACGATTTTCCCCTAAGGGTTCCCATCTCACCTGGAGCTTTGCAGATATGCTGTGGAAGACAGACTTGAGCTCTCTAGAAGGAGTGTGGGCCCTGGGGTGCTGCTCCTCAGGAAGGAGCACTGCTGACAAGCTCCTGAGGAAGTGGCTGGTCACCATCTGGACCAGTGAAAGATGTGGGGGGCTGTACATGGGGCAGGGAGTCTGTGTCCCAAATCTAATGATTCATCTCTGTCATTTGTACTCCTCACATGACTCCCGGGCTGTCTGAACCCTTTTCTTTTTGTAGAGGAAGTCCAGTCCGAAGGAGTCTGACAACCCTGGGAACACAGAAGACAGGATCCTAAAACCATGCTCTGTCCCCCCTGACCTCATTGACAAGTTGGTGGTAAACTTTGGAAACTTTCTGGAAGTCCTTTCCACAGAGGAAGCTCGGAAAGGTCAGGAGAGCATTCTGGGAGGAGAGGCGAATGAGTACGTGACTTCTCCGTCTAGGCCTGACTGTCCCCCGGGGGAAAGCTTTAAAGAGCCCCCTGCAACCAGGGTTATTCCTGGAGACACCCATGACCAGTGTTCGGGAATGACAGAAGAGACATACACAGAATTCAATGAGCAACTTCTGTCTTCTGGTCAGAGTCCAGAACCAGAGCCTCTCAGTGAGGAGCGACCTCCGAATCCGTATCTGAAAAATTCAGTGACCACCAGGGAGTTTTTAGTGCATGGAAATATCCCAGGGCACACCAAGAGAGAAATCTAAGCACCGCTGTGGACTGAGCCCTCGCAGACTGCGTGGGTCTCTTCCCTAGCAAAGATACCGAGATTTCCAGAAGCCTTCTTTGGCCCCTCCCCATTCATTTTGCTGCTAAGTTTCTTGGAACATGGTGACGCAGATGTCAACTTGTTCTAGGAAGAAGAAAATGCTTCATAAGGAAAAGCAAGTCACTTTCTTCCGAGTACTCTCACCCAGCCCCTTTGAGACAATGACTTGGAGAGAATGACCCAGTTTCGAAACCTAAAGGACCAAGTTACCCAGCCATTGCTGAAGCTGCCCTCAGGGCTCCAGGACAGTTGTTTGGTTGGCACTCGATTCCTGTGGGAACCTGATCACTACCCTTCCTCACCCTGTCCCTGAACAAGATTTCTCTTTTTGGTGCAGAGGCCAGGAAGTGGAGCGGCTTCCTAATGGTTTGCCAGGCTCCTCAGCTTCACGTCAAGGGTCTTCCTCAATGCCCTTCTCGGGACTCTCCATCACCGATTTATATTTAGTTTTTTATTTTTTTGCAACACTCGGGGTTGAACCCAGCAGGGTCTTGTTTATGTTAGGCAAGTACTCACCACATCCCATCCGCCCCAAGTTTATTACACAGACTGCTGGTAAGTCAGGAAATGGGAGACACTCCAGAAAGACACTGGCCTGGACCGTGGGCTAGGTAGCAGGTATGCCTGTGCTGTTGGCCTTTTCTCAGCTCACAGTGGTCTTCTGGCTTGCGTTATATCTGGTAGTAGCAGGCACCAAACATTGCAGTGGCTTTTGTTCAGAGACACTGCCCCTCACGCTGGCGTGGAGCCCAGGAATGCTTACTGAGCAGCCCGGAAAAGGTCTCTCCCAGCCACATACAGTCAGGGCCTGGGAGCACACTGTACTCAGCAACTTTACTGCCGTATCCTGAGACCTCTGCCCCTTTGCTATAGCCACGCACAGAGCTAGGGACCAGAGGGAGTCAGGGGTTTATTTGCTTGGGATTGGGGAACTGTGCAGCTGTGCACAGTGGTGGGCCAGGTCCCCAGGAACCTGATGAGATCATGTGGGCGGGGCAGTGGCTGAGTGGCAGGAGGTGCAGAGGGCTGTGCAGCCAGGAAGCCTGCTGGTACTTTCCTCTAGCAGTGTTTGAGTAGGCGGTGCTTGGGTTACAGACATACATTTCATAAGCCAACATTCAGGTGTGCAAATGCATCACTTTCCTTTCCTCTCAGTAGAATTCATCTCCAGCCCAAGACCCTGACATTTCGAGATAACGACAGACCAATGTTCCTGTCAAGACTTGACCTCCCTGGTCCTCCCTGGGACGGATTATGAGGGTGTTCGAGAGGCTGGCATCTGCAGGGCTGCGCTCCAAGTCTTCTAGAGTAATTTGTTTGTCCAGACATGGTTTGATCAGTGGACTCACGCATTTGTCCTTTTGGGCCTTAAGTCACTTGGCTGCAATCTTACTGTGGGCACAGGAAGTTGAGGCTGCTTCCTGAAGCCTCCCTCCCTCCCTCCATAGACCATTTAAAAAACATGTCTCAGTGGCTGCAGTCTTTCCCAGCCCCGCTCTTAGTCCCTAGTGAAAGTTTATAGATCAGGGAAGCAGGGAGGGACCTGAGGGGACCCGACTCTCACTCTGGAGATCACCCCCCTCTCCCTTGTCTTGCTCTCAAGCCTGGGAAGTGATTTAACCAAAGGGCCATTTGATCCTAGGCTGCCCTAAACCTAAACTGGTTCTCTTCCTGCTGTGTAGCTCAGCACAGCTCCTCAGAGCCTCTCCCAGGAATCCCTGACTGGGGAGGCTCAACTCAGCCTTCCAGCTTGACCTGGGGAGGGATAAAAAAAGGGCACTCCCATACCTCTTCTCTTCGACCCTTCAGCCTCTTGCTGGGGGATCGTGGGAGGTTAGTGGAGCTGGCAGAGTCTCAAAGAGGTCACGGGAAAAAGGCATGATGATGCTTTTGAATCTAAATCCCATGAACAGTGGGGAGAGAGAAAAAGAGAGGTGGAGAGAACACACACACACACACACACACACACACACACTGCCCTCTACCTACCTCTGCTACCCTGGCATCACAAATGCCAGCGGCATCCTGGGCTGCCTTTTGCACCAGCTGTCCTGCCCCCTTCTGTTTTATTTCAGCCTTCCGGGTTTGCCTTCGGTCTGCCTTCCACTCTTTCCAGGGGCTCTCTCCACTTCTTTTCAGTTCTTTCTCTCCCTCTCGGCTTCCCTGTGCCACATCCCAGATTTACTTTTGTTGCCTTTGATGGGTAGGATTGATGAAGGCCTTGTGTTGTCCCAGGTGGGCTTTGGGATGGTCCCAGCAGAGCCAGGTCTAGGGACAGTTGGTTTTCTAATCACACTGCGTTCTCCAGGTGGAATCACAGGATGCAGGCTCAGAGGCCATGATGGATTCCTCTCCTGAATCCAGTAAGTCACCACAGGCGTCCACTCTTAGCATCCAGGGGGTTGCCCTCATGGATAAAGTTGCCCTCATGGATAAAGACATCTCTTTACTGTCAAAGAAAAAGGATGAGCCAACCAATGTAGGAGCCAGCCTTGATAAGCTAAATAGAAACAGATCACCCAAAGGAAGTTCTTTACTTCTAACCATTATCACCTGCCAGAGTAGGACTCAACCATAACAAGTTTAATGGAGGCCTGAGTCTCAGTTGTTTACCCTGAAACAACACCCGGTTGCAGGAAGAACCACAAACTTACCTGAGATTACCTGAGCAAACCATCCAAAGGAAATGCCTAACGTTCTAACCTGAAATTAAAATTTCAGGGCTTGCAAATGAAGCTTAATGGAGGAGGGGCTAACCATGCCTCATTTACCTATTATCTGTGGCTGCTCCCCTTTCTGCCCAAAAGCAACTTCAGTAACTGGCAGAGACTTCGGACGGCAGAGCCTGTGGTGTTTCCCATTTGGCCCTCTGCCGAAGCTCTGGGGACATCTGCTCCTGTGTAAGGCTCAGATACCATTAACTCTGAACCAGCTGCTAAATTAAAAATGAAAAGGAAAAGAAAAGCAGGGGACTGAGAGGCGGCTTAGCCGGTAAGAGTGTTTGTACCTGAGTGCAAATCCCCAGGACCCACATAAAAATCTGGGTGTCACCATACATGTTGATAACCTCAGGGCTGCAGGGTGGAGACAGGAGGGTTCCTGGGGGTGTGCTAGCCTCCAGCCTGGCTCCTCATTCAGTGGCAGACCATGTCTCAAGGGAAGAAGACAGAGAATGATGAAGGAGGACACCTAGCCTCTCTCTCTGACCTCTAGGCACATGCATGGACACACATACCTGCACACACATGGACATACATCATACACATATGTAGGCACACATCCCACAACAAAATAAGGATATCTTTCTGATTTTCTAGTTGAGTACCTGCCTCCTATAGAAAGGCACACACTGTGGCCCCCAGCCCTTATCACTTCCTATCTTCTACCAAGCTCGCATCTGTTTTTTGTTTGTACTGGTTGTTCTCAATCAGGGTGAGTTTGCCCTCCCACCTACAATGTCAGAGGAGCCATGCCTGGAGATGCTTTGACTGTCATGGCAGGGATGGGTGCTACTGGCATCTAGTGGACAGCTGCCAGCAGGGCTGAACGCTCGCCTACAGGGCACGGCCAGCCTCATCCTCATGGCTAAGGAAGTGGTCTCTAGATGCCAGCAATGCTGAGGTGGACTGCCTAGAATAGCCGCCCTAAACGTCCATGTGTTTGCACGCTGTGGCTTGTGAGACAGTCCTTAGTCAACACAGTTGTGCTGAACATCTTTTTAGTACAGAGAGTGACTACGATAAACATCTTTGTTCAGGGTAGCTTTTCTTACTTTTGTCCTGTCTACTTGGAGCTGTTTACAAAGTCGAATTTGCTGAAGGTTTTATGATCACATCTTGCCTGATATGACCTCTTAAGGCTACAGTGATTTTTGGTGTTACCAGAGATGCCTGAGTGGTAGTTGGTACTTTTCCATTGACAGCCTGCTCTTTCACTGCTGTGAGCTTGATTTTGCTTTTGTTAATTGTTTTTTGAGAACGTTAACTATGATAAGTGTAATGGTCTGTCCTGTCTCTTTAAGAGACAAGCCCCGCCCATTCCCTTCCCCACCCCCCCCCCCAGGCAAGCGGATCTTCTATCCATCCAGCTTGAGTTCCTTCTTCTGCATCTCTTTCCCAAAGAGGTAGCTTCTCTTCTCCTCTCCTCCTCCACTCCGCCTCCCCATTTCTCTTTCTCTCTCTGCCTCTCTTTGTTCTTCCCCCCTTTTCCCTTCCCCCATTTCCCTTTTCCCTCCATAACCCACTAAATAAATACCCACTTTCTCTGCATGGTGTGCCTATCCGCCTCTGTCTCTCACTCACTGCGTGGCTCCCTGCCTGGGACCTGCTGGCCCTTGAGATATACCGCTGCACCCCTTGGGGGACTGCAGTGTTTTATCTAAGCCATAACAATAAGGCCTGTCCATAATCAGTCATGTGGTGTTGGTGTCTTGCCCCCTTACTGGGGGGGTCTGGGAGAATGGAGCCTAGAGAGGACACCACAGGTCTCCTCTGCACACTGGGGTCAGCGGAGAGTTTTACACAGCACAAACAGCGCCGACCGTGGTGCAGGAGCCCAGAGGTCACAACCGCCCCTCTGTATCGAGTTCCGTGTGCAGAGTCCTGGGCCAGGGACCTGCCCTGAGCTGCCACGAAGGATCTAGAGGAAGGACTCAGGAAGGGACGAAAACTGAGTCAGCAGGGCTTCCAGGGCTCTTCAGAGAAGGTGGGATACATACACTGCCAACTTCACTCGCAGACATGGGGTCTTCTGTCTTTCTCAACTGTTGTGAATGGGGTAAGATGGGAGAGAACTGTCTTGAGGCCCAAATTTGAAACGAAACTAAAAGTACGGAAGGTCACAGAGTCCGATGATTGCAGCAGAAATCATTCTGCGTCCCTGGAGGTTGGGCATGTCTGCTTCTCCACAGATTTATTGTGTGTCTGGGTAATGTATGACTCTGTGACGCCGAGTGGCAGAGTGGGGAGGAAGGCATGCAGACTGCTGGGGGGGGGGGGAAGGGGAGCATTCTAGGCACTTCCTTGTCAACACGTTTGTATTTGACCATCCGCATAATAAAGCCATAAGACCGCCTTCGTAATTTTCTGTACTTGTAAGGCTTCACCTACTTCATTCTGCAATCCATTAACCTGGCCAGGTGTGATGGTGCAGAGCGGGAGGCAGCGGCAGGAGGATTGCTGCAAGTTTGAAGCCAGTCTTGTCTACACAGAAAGACAGTCGTGATTGCAGAGGGCAAGAGCAGCCCACAGTGAACAGAGATCAGGGCGTGTGGCGGTGGAGGGATGAACCCCCAGGTGACCAGGACTCCAGGTCGTCACATCTCTGTCCCTCCTCCCAGGAATCCCATCTTCCACGAAGTCTCCTGTCTGCTGAGCCCCGTCCTTACTGTTGTACATCATCATCATCATCATCATCATCATCATCATCATCATCATCATCATCATCATCAATTTAATTAAGCAAACATAGTTATTTTAGAGTTGTATCGGTTGGAAGTCCAACCGGGTCTCTTTGGGCCCAAGTCAAAGCTGTTCCACGATCCGGAGAAGCATGCTAACCCTTCCTAGCTCCTAGAACGTGCCCTCCTCTGCCAGGGCCCACAGATGCGAGTCGGTTCCACCTTTATTAGAGGTCAGAGAGTTCGAGTTTATTTTGCTCTTTGAAAGTTGTTGACAAGTGGCTACAAAACAGGAGGTCCTGACCTAGAGTGGCTAATTAGTATTTTGAGTGCAGAGGCATATCAGCTCCATCTTGACCAAAGGTCAGAGATGCTCTTTAATCAAGTCTGTTGCTCCTCCTCCCGTTTTGGAGTGGGATATGAAAAGATGTGGAAAATAAAGGGGCGGCTCTGTGTTCACTGAATTCCTCCCCCACCGAGGCTGTTCTGTGTTCTGTCTCTTATTTCTCTCTTATCTCTGTTCCCTTTTGCTTAATAATTCTAATCTTCATTCTGCTACGCTGAAGCTTGTGAATCCAGTCAAGGCTGGTCCTCGACACTCCTCCTGTGGCTGTGGCCTCTTCTTCCCTCTACGAAGTCATCAGGGTTGTGTTCCTCTGCTTTCCGGCAGTCATGCCTCTCTCAACCTGGTGGGGCTGCAGGCAGTTTGAGGCTGAGACCGGAAGTGGGTCAGGGTGGTGGCGGTGTACACTAGTGATCCCAGTATAGTACACGGGAGACAGGTAGGAAAGGAGCATTGAAAGCCAGCCTAGAGTATGTAGTGGATCCTGTCTCAAAACAACAAAAACCAACCAATGATCCACCCATTCATCCATCCATTCATCCATCCATCCACCCATCCACCCACCCACCCACCCATCCATCCACCCACCCATCCATCCACCCACCCATCCATCCATCCATCCACCCACCCATCCATCCACCCACCCATCCACCCACCCATCCATCCACCTACCCATCCATCCACCCACCCATCCATCCACCCACCCATCCATCCATCCATCCATCCACCCACCCATCCATCCATCCATCCATCCATCCACCCACCCACCCACCCACCCATTCATCCATCCACCCATCCATCCATCCACCCATCCATCCACCTATCCATCCATCCACCCACCCAACCATCCATCCATCCATCCATCCA